TTTTTTTTTTTCCCTTGAGGTATTATCATCGGACTAACCAGCCCAGGCAAATTCAATCTTGTGTCTAATCTGACAACGGTGGCCTTTTCAGCCCAGGGTGGCCTGATAGCCTTAGGGTGGCCTGTAGACTGCAATGTAGATTAAAATGTGTATAATTAGGGATGATATAGGTTCTAATACTGTCTTCAATAGCATCGCTTATTGCCTTACTTCGTTTGCCTGCTTTGCGTGGTGATTGTGGTTCATTGATGGATTGCGTTTAGTCCTGTTTCCGCAGCCTGTTAAGGGGCTGCGTTAGGTTTTGTTTCTACAGCCTGGACTTGCACCCGGCCGGAGTAGCAGGGAGCAACTCTGGGGCTGTGAATGTTTTGTAAGGGACGCCGGGTAAAGTTTAAATGGAAATAATCATTTTTTGAAAAAAAAAAAAAAAAAAAAAAAAGCAGTAGGAAGCGCTAGCATGGCGGCCGGCACAGCTGCCCCGAGGACGGGCCGCACGGTGTTAGCAATGCAGTACGTTCCGCGTTCTTTGCCATTTCTACACTCAAAGAATGACAGGATTGCCATTAAATCCAACTTCAACCACTCTCTTTCCCCTCTCAAAGTGGGGGCACACTCGCTCTCGGGCTTCCCTGTATCCACCTGAGCGCAAAACAGCCAGATGCAGCCCGAGTCCACCTTCCCATGTTCCCTGATCGGCGTATTGCGATGTAAGAGGCCCGGCTGCATACTACTTGCTCCACTTGGGAACTTCCTCCTCCACCCCCCTGCGTCCCCTTGAACTGGCAATCTTGCCTGCCCTCCTTTCCTCTATTTGTGCTTGTATTCCATCCTCTCTCGTGGAAGAGGGAGTGACCATTATAGGCGGGTATATAACCCATTATTATCTTATTATTACTATTCTTTTTCTCCTTAAACCACTAGTACCTTTGTCGGCTCAAAAATACTCGGCCTCCTGAAAGTTCTGAGGTAGACCAGTACTTGTCGAAATAGGCTCGGAGGTTATTGCGGTTTAGACCACCAGTGTATGGGCCTCGCCGCACCGTGCACGAAACGAATAAAAAAACGACTTCTTTTCGTGAACGAGTCACCAGACAGCACCCACATGACCTCTGTCAGAACACAAGTCGTAAATGCTGTCAGACTCCAAGTTGGTGGCACACACGAAAACTTGTAGATCCTCCCTGCCTGCAACGCTCGCAAACTTGTAGGTCCTCCGCTGGTCGGCTGGAGGAGCTGCGAAGTCTCACGAGTGTGTGCCGTGTCGCTCCAACCAAGGTCCGTCCAAAAAATTGGACCGTAGCTTCCAAAAGTTTGGACCGTAGCGAAACGAATCCCGCTCTCCTCTTGCCAGGGCGTTCTCGTGAGAGTTTTCGTGTGTGCTGTGGGGCGGTGAGGCAAAAAACGAAGTGAAACGGTGGATCCGGGCTTTGCGAGGCCTCGGGAGTTTGGTGGTCATTTCGTTTCGTTAGTTGTGCCGTCCGGCGAGGCCCTATGCCATACAGAGGCCACTTGCCCGTTTCGGAGGCAGGAACGTGACGCAGGCCGGCAATGTATTTTATCGACCGACTCCGACCTTTTTTTTTTTTTTTTTTTTTTCCTCCGACCTTTTTGGAGTAGGTGACAAACAGTTCTCCACCGCGCTGGGGCCATGTACTAGCGATTTAAGAGTTATATCTATCTTTTAGGCCCTTGCGACACCACTGTGGAAACGAAAAAAAACACTAATGCATCTTCCCCCCAAAGTGGCCAGATGCATCTATTGCTATTTATAGGAATGGATGCATCTTGCCACTTTCTGTGGGAACATGCATTTGAGCGTTTCTGGTTTCGACATTGGTGTGGCGAGGCCCCCTTAGTATCCCGGTAAGGACGCCTGCTCGCTGACGTCAGTGGTGGGTTGTGGGCCCCCATCTGTTCTTCTGGGACTTGTGCTCTTCTGTTTGTATTGCAGCGGGTTTCGTCTCTCCGCCGCGGCCTGGATTATGTTTCTCCTCAAGGAGAGGCCCCGCGATCTCTGTGGAAGACGATGATTTCCAAGGGGTGTTATTCTCTGCACGATGATTTGCGGGGTGTGCGATTCTCTACATGAACGATGATTTGGCCGCATTTCAAGTAATTGCAAAAGTACTGCGTGTTATTCTGTGCACGGTGGTGATGCTGCCGATTACTGCTAGCAGGTCTAGAATGTAGCCGGTAGATATTGTTTTCCTGTTCACTGTTGTGTCTTCATTTTTTTCTTCAGGACAGGAGGTAATTAGGCTTTATGTATGTGTGACAATATAAATTTTCGATCTCCGAAGGACATTTGGGCAGCAGCCGGGTACACCCCATCTTCAGGCTGGGGGTTTCATAAGATATATGGGAGTTACGGAAAACAGAAAACAGATTGAGAGTATATTGAATATGTCATTTGGCTGATTAATGTTGTCGTTTTCTTGAATTATATAATTATTTTTTTGATAACAAGTTGACCCACCACGGCTTCGCCCGTGGGCCGAGGGTCATGCATGAGGCAGGGGACAAAAGAGGAGGGAGCACAGAGGATTTGGAGACAGCATTTCAATTCAATGATCGCCAACAGTAT